CAGGGCTATGGAGAGTGGTGGCTGAGGCTGGTCATCGTCCCTGTCCCGGACCACCCTGAGTCTACCTCCAGGCCTGGAGCTAGGAGAAGGGCACATAGGAGACTCCTGGGCTGCTAAGGAGCCCCTTGTGCTGGGCAGCTTCCTGCCTGAGGCACCCACAAACCTGAGCCAGCCACAGAGAGGGGCAGGACAGGAGGCCTAGTAGACTCTGTGTCCCTGGTTCTTTCCTGGGTGGCCTTACAAACACAAAACTCTGTTCCCTCATCTGAAGCAGGAGAGGCAGGAGAACAGGGCTGTCTGTGCATGCAGATCTTAGTCCTGGAATGCAGTTGTGTTGTGCAAACTCCAGCTGTGGTTATGAACACTGACATCATTGTGAGTTTGGTTTTCATGAGCCCTGGAGACAGGACAGAGTATAGAGTCAAGCCATCCTCCTCCTGCTCCAATGCCAAACTGGCGAGGGTCCAGGGCACCAGGCAGTGCCCTGACCTAGGCTATCAGTTCCTGGGGTAACTACACCTACACAGCTTTCCTGTTTATTTACTACTTCTCACTTCCTGGCATCTGCTCCAGAATAGTGCTTGGGACACAATGCGTAAGACCTAGTAAGGCACCTTTCAAACACATTTCACAGATAAGGAAAGCAGGATGGAGAGAGTAAGGGATGTCCCAGGCTCACAGCTGCTAACTGCCGGGCTGAGCTTTGCGGCCGTGGGCCACCCTCCTTTCCCATGCTACTGCTTGGCCTGGCCAAGCATCCTGGATTCTGGGAAGACATGGAGAGGAGCCAGGCAAGGCAGGGGCCCAGGGCCGTCTTGGTGCCCAGAATAGCTGTCTTCTGAGAGCACTGCTCCCAGACCACAGAGGTCAGGAATCAAAGACTCTAGATGCAAAAGGTCCACTTGGCACTTGGGGACCATCCACAGGGTCTCCTCCGAGCATGCAAAGGGCCCCATGGAGCTCATCACCTCCTCTCCTGGCTCATGCTCTCCTGGTGAGGAAGAGCTATAACGGACTCCCCTAGCTCCACTCAGAACCTGCCCGTGACTTCTACGCCCAGATTCCAAGGATGAAACTGAAATTGTTCTTTCCTGTGCCGTGTCCCCATCCCACCACGGCCTCAGCACGCTCTGCCTCACCCATGGATGTCCCTCTAGCTGCCTTTCTGGCTCAGAGTGCTTTTCTGTGCCCTGGGCAGGTCCCTGTCTCCTACCTCTGGGTCCGATCCTGGCCCGCTGCCCACCCCAACCTTCTTCCTGTGTGGGTCAGGCTGGGTTTCTGGGCCTCACTACCGCCTCATTCAGCTTCTATTTTAGGTTCTGGCTCCCTGGTTGTGGGCAGTCACTCCCCGGATTGCTGAGAGCTCTGAGGAACTCATCTGCCCAGACAACCCTGGCCTCCCTTCAGGGCTCCACAAATGGGCTTAATGGACAGGGTGGAGACACCATGCCTTGCGGTTTTGTGCAGCCTGCACCTGCAGCCTCAGCCCTCCTCATGGGTAGCCTGGGCTCCTTAGCTTTCAGTCTGCCCTGAGCCAGGGCAGAGGGAAAAGCCTCTCTCTGGGCAAAAAGCCTGGAGAGACAGGTCCAGACATAGGCCATGCTGCCTGTAGGACAAATGTTTTCTGCTGTAACCAGAAGCCACGTCCACACTGACTGCAGGGAGTGGGTGGTCCCACAGCTCCCACTCAGCGGGTGCTGTGTTTGTCCTCTCATGGGTCACGTCCTCCCCGTCCTGGACTCTCCTTACTGTGGGACGGCTACTCCCAGTAGGAGGGTCCAAGGGAAAGGACACATCCCCGTCCTCCAGCCCCTTGTGCAACAGGGGCACTTTCCCTGAGGCCCATGAGCACACCCGCCTCCCAGGCAGGCCAGTCAGGCCATAATGGGTCACATGCTCACCCCCACGCAGTGCCTAGGGAGGGGGGTGGCCGTAACCAGTGCAGGGAACAGATCCCACTGAGCAAGACCCGGAGGGGTCACATGCCACACAAAGCCAGCAGCTGGTGACCAAGAAGCAGCAAGTAAATGCTGTGGCGGCCAGACCTTCCACCTGCTCAGAGAAAAGGGTGAAAAGGGATCATGAAGAAGCAAGTAGAGCACCAGGTGCTGCCCCCAGCCCCCGCAGCTCCCTCTCCTCAACTCAGTGTGTGCCCCGGAGCCCCAGAACAGCACCTGGGGAGGGGTGCAGAGTGTCAGCACACATCACAGCTTGCTGCAAGGGTCGGTAAACAGCCTGCTAATAACAGTCCACAAACCTAAAGATCCATACAAGTGTGTGTCAAACCAAAGCAAAGTAGGAGAAATAGGATAGATAGAGACAAGGAAAATCATAATTCTGAAATTGTGCTTTTAAAGAAAATTACAGGTTCGGGACAAAGACACAGTCAAAAATTCCTAAGGGCCTCAAAGACACAGCATACTCCCTTTCCCTCCTTTTCCTCTGTGATGGACTGCTCATCCTCCTGAGACCAGGGCCTTCCCCTGGGGATGGGCCGTGCTCCCCCAGCTGTGGTGGCTGTCGCCCGGCCCTGAGGAAGGGCCAAGACCTTCCACCTGCAGTGGAATCCTCTCCGTGGACCTGCAGTTCCACAGATCCCCACCCAACTCCCATGAATACCCAAATGCGTCTCTCTCTGAGGCTACACTGTTTCTCTGAGTGCAGATTTAAAATTCTGTCCAATGTACCTCCTTTTGTCTCCCCCAATGAGTCCTGAAATTCCTTTTCTGTGATGGAAGTCAGCATACCTGCACCCTAGCACCGGGGTGAGTCAAGATTCCCTTTGTCCTCCTTAGGGACCTCCTCTGACCCCAAGGTCCATACCAAGGACCTCACTGGAATGGAACCACACCGTGTGTGTGTGTGTGTGTGTGTGTGTGTGTGCAGTGTGTGTGTGTGTGTGTGGTATGTGCTGCCTAATGTGTATATGATATGTGTGTGGTATGTGATGTGTGCAGTGTGTGTGTGATAGGTGGTATGTGTGGTGTATGTGGTATATGTGTGGGTGTGGTGTGTGTATCTGTGTGGTGTGTGCTTAATGGTATATATGTGATATGCGTGTGGTGTATGGTGTGTGTGGTATGTGATATGTATGGTGTCTGTGTGGTATGTGTTGTGTGTCATGTGTGGTATGTGTATGGTGTGTATGGTGTGTGTATGTGGTATAAATGTTACATATGATGTGTGTGTGGTGTATATGCTACATATGGTGTGTGTGTGGTGTATATGTTATGTATGGTGTGTGTGGTGTGTGATGTGTGCAGTGTGTGTGTAGTAGATGCTATGTGTGATGTATGTGGTGTATGTGTGTGGTGTGGTATATGTACCTACATGGTGTGTGCTGTATGGTATATATGTTATATAAATGTATTGTGTGATGTATATGGTTTGTGTGTAGTATGTGGTATGTGTTATGTGTGTGGTGTGTGGTATATGTCTCATATATGATGTGTGTATGGTGTATGGTGTGTGTATATGGTGTATGTGGTATGTGTGGTGCATGACATGTGTAGTGTACAGTATATGGTGTATGTATGCATGTGTGTATTGTGTATGGTGTGTGTACGTGGTGCATATGTTATGTGTGTTATGTGTGGTGTGTGTGGCGTCTGATGTGTACACTGTGTTTGGGGGGTGGTATGTGTGGTATATGTGATGTACGTGTGTGGTGTGTGTGGTGTGGTGTATGTATCTGTATGGTGTATGCTATGATGTATATGTGATATATATGTGGTATGTGATATGTGTGGTATGTGTGTGGTATGTGGTATGTGTTGTGTGTGTTGTTTGCATGTTGTATACATGGTGTGCGTGATATATGATGTATGTGTATGCATGCATGTGTGGTATATGGTGCGTATGGAATGTATACATGGTGTGTGTATGTGGTATATATATTATGTGTGGTATGTATGTGTGGTGTATGCTGTGTGTGTATGGTGTATGTGTGTATGTGGTGTGTGCATGATGCTGGGGATCTGACCCAGGGCCTCACACATATTAAGCGTGAAAGAATACACTTCTAATGTGGACCCTGAAGACCAGAGAGCACAGAGGTTCTTGAACTTGCTCAAGGGGGAAAAACACACAGAGAGGTTAGAGTTATGGAAAATCAAATCCATTGCACTACAAGTGCTGTGGAAAACACTTCCTCACAGAGCACGCTCCACCCAGAAAGGGCTGGATGGCGCTGGCTTCCCTTACCATCAGGGCGGTGGACTTGACTCGCAGACCTGCTCCTTGCCTTGCTGGACTCTTGTGCACAGAGGAGAACAGATTCTGCTGAAGCACTGTCCAGGAGAACTAAAACTGGCTGCCTTCTGTCCACTGCATCTGTTAGCCAGGTGGGAACTAATGATTTTAGAGGGGGCTGATTTTAGAGGGGTCCAGCATGACCCCGGTATGCTCACATACAGAGACTCCTCACCCAGCAGCACCTCCATTCATTTTCTGCAGAGTTTCCAAGGCTCACAGATACCTTTGGTTCCCAAGGTCACCCCATTAATTATTGACACAGCAGCTCCCCTGGGGAGGAATGGCAGCGATTTCCCCTCCCATGTCGCTAGTATGTGTGGGAGACGAAGGACGGTCCCTGTGTGCACTGGGCGGAGCCCCTGCCTGCTCCAAGTCTGGATCCTCCAGGCTAGAAGAGCTTCAGAGCTCAGACTCCAGCAGGAGCTGTTTCTGTGAGTAATTTACATGCTCATTCTTCTCCCACCTGCACACAACTGGATGGGCACCAGTGGTCTCCTCTGGGCCCCCTGGCCCAGCAGGTGTGTGGCCCAGATGTGAATTTCTGGGTGGGACTGCCTGCTAAGGAAGGGCCCGGCTCCTCTCTCTGTGGCTTCTTCCTCCCAGCCAGCAATGGTTAATTGCTGGCTCCAGGCTCCGCAGCCCAGCCCAGCCCTAATCAGCCTGATCAGCCGGCTGCTGGGCCAGAGGCTCGGGGCCAGGCTGGAGCATTCTTCCAAGGTAATGATTAAGCCGTGCACCTGACCCTCCCAGCAGAGCTCACACCTCTTGGGCTGCGGTGGCCAGAACTGGCTAGAGTAGGCAGGGCTCTGCTCAGGGACCCACCAGCAGCCACAGTTTCTGTCTTCCTGCACACATAGTCCTCCCAAGCATCCTTGGGCCAGAGCCTTTGCTGACTGCCCACTGGACTTGCCTGCACCCCCACCATGAAGCTCTGGGTGTTCTGGACCGGGCTGGAGTACACCTGCCGGATCCTGGGCATCGCTACTGCGGCAGGTAAGACCCCACCAAGCCCGGCCGCTGATGCCTGCTCCATGTTCTCCAGTTCCTTCCCCAGCTCCCCTGGGAAGCTCTGCCCTGTGACGAAGCAGACAGGGGGCTGTGCTGCATCTGCCACAGCCTACCTCCGAGCAGCTGAGCAGCCTCACAGACCCTTGGAGACCCTCAGCATCCTTATCTGCAGAGGGGTCAGCTCTGGGCTCCACCTCCTGGAGGGTGGGAGTGTAGGCGGGACTCCTGGGTGAAGGTGCAAAAGGCAAACATGAGCATCATGCCTGCCTGTGTAAGGGTGAAAACGGCTGAGTAAACTGTGCTTGTTTTATGGAGAAGGCCCATGGGGAGTGAGAATGTCCACCCAGCCTGGAGCAGCTCTGCCCTGGGGAACAGGCTGGACACACCCCAGAGCTAACTGGAGCACCCTAGAGGCCCAGTGTCCCATGGGACTTGACAGGAGCACACATAGGCTTCTGGCATGAAGAGGCCCTGGGCTAGCCCCCTCCCCTTCCTGCAGGGCTGCAGACAGTTTGCACAGAATGTCCTTCCCCAAGGCAGAGGCCCCTTTGCTGGTCCCCAGGGGCAGAATGTGTGCTGGGGACACAAGGATGCAAGGCTCCCAGTCTCTGCTCTGGCCCACGTCCCTTGGATCCAGGAGGAGGCACACAGCCATCAAAACCCCCCAGCAGAAGCTTATTCAGTCAGGAAGGTAATCAGCTTGGATGCCAGCAGCCCCAGTTCAAGCCCTGACCCTGGCCTCTCCTAGATGTGTGCCCTTGGAGGAGCCACTGCCGCTGCCACCACACACACTTTCTGACCACCAAGGTAGACTGTAGCCAGTGTGTTGGCACATCAAGGATGCAGAGCTATGCACAGCTAAGAGCGGAGAGTAAAGCCTCAGGTCAGGCTTGGAGCTGGGCGACCTGGACCAATTCCAGGGCACCTAGATCAGGAGTCCAAGCTGGTGGAACCACAGAGAGGGTCTCTCCCCACCCTCCAGGGACAAGATGGAGCCAGTTGTACCACTGAGTTCCCATGGGAGCAGTGACCTTACCCAAGGTTGTGCTGGCAGACACCCCAGAACCCTAGCCCTGGGCTTTCCGGAGCCCTGCCCACATCCTGGGGTAGGAAAGTGGGCTGCCCTGCTACCACCAGAGTCACCTATGCCAGAGGATGGCCACCAAGGACCCACAGGCCAGCCTAGGTAAAGGACGCTAAGTGGACCAGCATCCACAAAAGGGTTTGATGCCAGCACTGTCACTAGCGTCTACCAGTGACTCAGGCCCTAAGCTCCAAATAGGTACATGTCATCCCTGCTGGCTGCCAGCAGCCCCAGCCACACCCCACAGAGCAGGGCCAGGCCCCTCTAGGAAGCTGTGTGAGATGTAAGCCTCTGTCCTAATGGATTGAGGAAAGACAGGTCAAGAGGCCATTTATCTCAAGCAGGCTCAGGGTTTGAAGCCCCACCCTCACACCTACACTGTCCTTCTTAACCACAGCTTTATCTCTGTGCCGAGACTGCTGGTAATGCAGAGAGGGATCTCCCACTTGGTTTCAAAACCAGCTCCAGGCTAAAAATAGGCCCTCTCATCGCCTTCTAATGGCCAGGCTTTCAGAGAACCTTGTGGGCTCTTGAGTGCTGGAGGCTGGGGAAGAAGGGTGGCGTTGGTACCCTCTCCGGTCTCAAGTTCCCTCAGGCATCCTGGATACCTGGCCTGCTTCCAGCATATAAGATTTGCAAATTCCTTCCTCCCTTAAGCCTCTTTTTTGCTGAAATCCTCTGTTGGAAAGTCCAGGCCTCATTGTTAGGGTGCTGCTGCTAAGGAGGAAAGAAGACTTCAAATAGAACCGGCACTTTGCAAAACACTGGGGGTAAGGGACCCAAGGTGGCCTGGACATTGCAGGTGGAGATGTGTGTCCCAGGGGCCAGGAAGACATGTGACCCAAGGCTCCAGAGTGCCAGCCCTCCCTGGCCCCTGCACACAGAATCCTGGCTGCCACCGGATGGTGGGTGCCACTCACTGGGATGTCCTTGTCCCCAGCCTCTCAGGATGGCACTTCTTAGGGTATACAGTGACCCACAGGCATCAAAGCCCATGCTGAGGTCCAGCCCACAGCTCACATGCTTCTGGGGCACAGATGGGGCAGTGCCAGTGCCGAACAAGGGCAAGCAGGTGTAGGGCAGATTGTGCCCAGCCCAGGTTGTAAAGTCAGGAAATTCTGTGGCTTGGAGCAATCACAGGCTTGCAGGTCACCACAGACGCTCCCTGCCTATGCCCGCACTGGGCTCTGTGGCGCCCCTCCCTGGCCTGGGCAGGCAGTGGGTGTGTACCTATATGTGTGTGCACATGTGTGTGTGGACACGTGTGTGTGTGTGTGTGCACATCTATATGTGTGACCTTTGGGTGCCCTTGTTGATGAGATGTAGCCCAGTACCATCCTAGAAGCTGCCACCCTGAATGGCACGTGGAATGCATTTCCCCTGCAGGTGCCACCTCCCTGTCTCTCCCACAGTGCCCTCCCAGGCACACCTGACACCGGGCACAGACACCAGGACAGCTCAAGTTCTGCCTGGGCAGTTCTGCCTGGGACTGGACTGGCTGCAGACTATTAGGAGAGAGACCTTGGACACGGGTTTAACTGCTGAACTCAGTGGCCCAGACCCTTCTCTTCTGTCACATGGGCAAGGGCCTCTCGCAGCACCACCCCGGTGCTCAGGCTTCTCCCTGCCATACTCGGGGGCTTTCTCTTTCCCCGGTGGTACTGGAACTTTCACTGAGCTACATCTCCACCCCTTTTAATTTTTTTTTTTTTAATTTTCAGCCAGAGTCTGACTGAGCCCTTAAATTGCCCAAGCTGAGTTTGAACTTAAAATCCTCCTGCCTCAGTCTCACAGAGTGCTGGAATTGTAGGCTTATGCCAACACACCCACCTTTGGGGACTTTGCTTCATTATTCCTGCCCGCCTGTGGGAGGTGGCAGCTGATAACAGCAGTGTAGTCCTGTGGGTTTCCTGGGGGCCACGCTCTGTGCTGCGGCTTTAAATGCAGGCTCTGCCTCTGTTAAAACAGCATCCTGTGCACACTCATTCCTACTGTACAGGGGGAAACTGAGGCTAGGAAGGTGGCACACAAAGCTCAAGATGTTGTGACAGGAAGCAGAGAGGCAAGAGTCTCACACATCTCCAGAAGGAATAGTCCTAGGCCCAACTGCAGACAGCTTCAGAGTCACTGTCTTGCCATGGCTCACAGATGCCTGCTGTGCAAAGCACAAGCCCACTTGTGGGGAGACTGAGGCTCAGGGTGGCTGGTGGTTTGACAGAGGTCCCACAGCCAGATGCAGGTAGGGGTTTTTTCTCTTTCTTCTCTTTCTACTCCTCCTTCTTCCCCTTCTTCCTCTTCCTCTCCTTGCCCTCCTGTCCTCTTCCTCTTCCACCTGCCCTCCTTTACTTCTGCACCACTGGGAATTAAATGAAGAGCCTGTCCACTGGGACTCTGGGATGGCTCACCCCATGGCAGCAGCACGGGGGCTCTCAAGCATGAGGGAACTGGGGAGGAGCGCAGGTAGAAGGAGCAGCAGCCCCGCCAGTGAGTCCGGGGCTTGGGGTCGGCTGGGACTGCTTGGGGTTGTTTTGTTCTAGGGGTTGACCCATTAACCTGACTCTGCATGGGATCGAGGCAGCCTCATTCTCCACAGACCCACGTGCAGTGCTTATTAATATAGATGAGGGTGAAAGCAATGCCCACAGCCTGGGTCTGCCTTTCCCAAAGGTCACGGCAAATGCGTGGCCCGACTTTGGCCCTGTTCAAAGCCTTCCAGGAAACAGTTGCTTCCGAAGAGAATGTCTTGGGCCCTGCACGCTAATTTCACACACATGCGTGCGTGCGTAAACCTCATGACCACTTCTTAAATGCCAACTCCCTGCTGGGGATTGATGCCCCGTGGAGACCTTGTGGCCTTTGCTGTGTTTCCAATCTTCCTGGTGACCACAGCTGTTTGTCTTTCTTGATCTGATCGGCTGGATGAGTAAACAGAATCTCTCTCCCACTGAGAGCAGCAGGCCGTAGTCCAAGCATTCCTTTCCTTCCCCATCATGTTCAGAACACGAATCTAGAGCTCTGCTTGCCACTGACTGAGTGGGCAAACACTTACTCGTCTCTATGTCCTCTATGTTCAGCATGACCTCAGCCTCAGGGTGCTGTGCCCAGTGACCAGGGAAGCAGCCTGGGGACTGCACATCTCAGTTGCAGAGCTGTATGTGTACTGGTGGGTGTACCCCCCTGCACTTGGTGTGTGGCCCTGCACATGTCACCTGAATTCTGTAAGCTTCAATTTCCTGTCTACATGGCAGGGACAACTATTGGGTCCAACCAAACAGTGGGTCAACTGCCAAAGGCCCACACAGTCCCCACCCTGCTCAGGTCAATCCCACAGGTGCATGTGGATGACAGGGACTGCACAGGATGAACGAGACCAGAGGGAGGAAGCCAGGCAGCAAAGGCCAGGAGGCTGGGAAGGAGCAGGGACTGAGCTGTAAGAGGTCTGACCCCAGAACATCTCCCTGAGTCCTGAGCCCTCAGAAACTAGGTATTTATACACCTAGTATAGTGAGTGTCTTGGTTACTTTTCTCTCGTTGCTGGGACAAAATATCTGACTCCCAAAATTAAGGAAGGAAAGGTTTATTTCACTTACAGTTCATGGAGGTTTCAGCCCGTACTTGGCAGCTTATAAGGCAGAGTGGCACATGATGGAGAGCTGCAGCTCAGGACGACAGAACACAGCTAAGCAACAACCACACACCAGGGCAGAATGGGGGAGGAATCGCCTCAAGCACCCTTTTCCTCTCCCTTACATATGCAAACTATCCACTCCAGGGCGGGTGCAGCTCTCACACCCATATTCAAACTCTAAAAGCCTGCCCCATGTCCACATGAGGCATTGGGGGACACACAGACATAAACCATAACAGTGAGCTAATTGGAAAGAAGAGGGTAGCCCGGTCC